TATATGTAAGGAAAAATATGTATTTTACTAATTATAATTAGTAAAAAATTTAAGCATTGCATTATTTTTGATTGCCACTGTAATTATTTTTAAAAAATTATTATTATATTTTAAATCCATTCAAATTTATTTTTAAAAACTTATTATATTTATTATACTTAAAATATTTTTTAATTTCCATCTTTTTTATAATTTTTTTTGAAATATATAATTTTAATATAACTTTTATTTATTATTATAAAATTATTTAATTTATTTCTTTTTTTAATTTACTTATAATAAAATAATAATTTTTTTATAATTTTTAATATTAGTAAATTTTTTCAAAAGAAATTTATTAAAATATCTTCTAATTTTACTATATTTCTTATTAAATTATTAATAATTAAAATATTTATATAATAATTAGTTTCTTAACAATAAATATATTTTTATTTATATAAATTATAAAAAAATAATGAATTAATATAGAAAGATAATTTATTATTAAAAATCAGAACTAATTGACAGAATAACTTAAGAAAAGCAACTATATATGAAATGATTATAAAGAGATGATTATGTACTAAATATTATGATCTTTAAGCTTTTTTAATGATTATTTTTATTTTTTTATAATTGATTTATATAATAGTGGCCAAAAGTAATGCATCAGGTGCCAAATTTATTAATAAAATATAGTGAAAATTGAAAGTTTCTCTTTATATTAAAATTTATAATTTTATTAAGAAATAATTTTTATTTTTATATCAAAATAAAGTTCATTAGTAATAATTTAATATATATTTTTTAGATTTTTTTCTGAGAGTTGTTCTAATTGTAAAGTTAATGCAAAAATTTTTACTAATTAAAATGAAATTTAATTAGTAAAATGACTTTGCAATAACAGCTTTTCAGAAAAATCTAAAAAACCTGAAAAAATATATGTTAAACTATAAATTATAAACTTTAGTTTAATATAAAAATAAAAAATATTTATTAATAAAATTATAAAGTTTAATATAGAGAAAAATTTTCAATTTTTACTATGTTTTATTAATAAATTTGACCCCTGATGCATTATGTTTAGACCACCCTATATTGTTTTTCTTTTGGCAAGAATCCACGAGCGCCTCCTGGTTCTATTGGAAAAATTGAGATGTATTTAAGAAAATGATAACATCTTTATTATACATATACATGTATTTTCAATGTAGAAGTTACATTTTTTTCGCATTAGCATTAAACTATAATCAGGAAACAATATATTCATATATATGCATGATTATTTGAGTATTTGTTCATTACCGCGACGAATCTAATATTATTCTGCTTTAATTAATTTGCTCATGTTGAAAAGTATTGGGAATTGGAAACACAGCTTCGCATTCAGGACACATCAAGTCACTAAAGAGAGATACATGTCATGTAATTATTTATTGACACTCATACAATAGATATTCAAATAGAATCATACAAACCAGCGCAAGCTATCTTGATGTCGGGTGTGCAATTCAAGTGGCTGAATTATATTTTTGCATTCTGGACATACTTGTTTTTCGTGACGATGAATAGTTGCATCAAACTTCAAATCTGGTGAAGGAATTTCTTGCAAATGACTTAAAAACCAGATCACCATATCGGTGTCGGTATCGATATGTCTTATTTCGTATCATTTATAAAATTGATTATTTACCAGCCCCAAGGTTTGAACTCTGTGCGAGAAACTCGATGATCCCCAATATCAGCGTCTTGTGAGTAATCACAAACACTACAGCGCATCTTAAGTTTTCGGAAACGGCGGTCAGTTCTTCCTTGATACGTCTCGGATATTACTCTCGGACGCAAAACGCAGTCGCTTAATGTTGATTTAACGTTAAATTCAAAATAGAAGCGATTTTCCTCAAAATTCGAGTATTTTCTATCTCACCATCTCGGGCAGAACTTGTAGCTGTGCTGAATTGAAGACATGATTATAAGTGTGAGTTAGGAATAATTATGAGTAGAGAAAAACAAAATGATTATTACATTTATTTATTATCGTTATTATGATGTGTCATTTTTATTCGAAAGTTGATGATGTAACTTATTACGCATTACTCATATATCATATTAATAATCAAGACTTAATTTTGGTCAAATTTATATTGTTTTAGATACACTTTGTATAAATTTTATTTAATATTCCATTTGACTCCAATACCGTTCGTGGCATTGATGCATTATTTTCCCGCAATATGTATTGACGCATTGTCTTTTTGAAAAATTGCGTAACTTCCAGTTAATTCCTTAATTGCGTTCTGGAATGAGGGTTCTTTAATTTTGTTTCTCTCCTCAAAAGAAAAGCGTTTTCATAATATTGAGTTCAGTCGGTGCGTTTGATTTCAACACTGGTTATCAGAGAAAATTATTTTCACCCAATCATAAGCTTATTTTTATTTTCTTCACACTATTTAATACAAGCATATGCGTGTGTTTCCGAGATACATGAATAGGGTTTCTTTGCCGCGATATGTGAGTTAAGTAAGGTTTAAATTAAATAATGGTGCACGTCTTTTTTTCGTTTGCTTCACGCATAAGTAATCCTTTTCATTTTCTCCTATTCATTTGTATTTATTAATAAAGTAACGTACCATTGTGGGGTTACGTCCAAGGTAAATAAAGAAAATTTGAAATATGTTGATATTAAACCTTAGAACTTACTTTACAATTCTTTATAACAGAATACTCAAGTGGCCACATATTGCATGCAAAAAGTTTTACTTTTATTGCTTTTATTGATTATCGTTTGTGTGTTTAAACAGTTAACGTCAAGCACTGGCCGGAATTTTTTTTGTATGAAAAACGGCACGAATCATTATGCTTATAATTCTTGAATGATAGAAAACACCTCAAATGATTAAATTGCAACCGTATACTTCGACAATAATTGATATGCGGTTATATATTCTTGAGTTTCGCCCTAGCTCACGGGCTTTTACAAAATTTCGCATTTGAGCAAAGCCAATGCTCAAAGTCCTTAGCATTAGATAATTCTACAATAATATAGAAAATCAATCACAAGATGTAAAAAAATACCCCCCTTTCTCGTCTTTCTCCAAAGTCTCCGATTCCATCAGGCTTCCTCCACAGTGTTGTGACAGGTTGTTCAAGTCGGTTTGCTTCCGAAATTCTAAAGCAAAACGAAACAACAGCACGACATTCATTTATTTTAATTACCATAAAGTGTTGGGTATAAGTAACGCTTTTTTGACTTTGACGGACTTTGGGCTTGATTTCGAAGAAGTTGCTTATCCGTGAATGATCGCACACTTTTGAATAACAACACCATATCATAGCATCCGTTAACAAAATATAGGTTAAACACCAAAATAATTGCTATAGGTGTTACTTTATAAATTATTAATACCTATTCCGCCGGCCAATATTTTCTGAAGATTCCCAACACCTTTTCCACAGCTTGTTACTGTATACCTTAAGCAATGTAATATGGAAACAAGTCAAGTTTTTACCTCAGTTCTATAATTAAGCAAATTGTTCTAAGTCAAATCAAGTATACGCCTCACGACTCCCATCTTTTCGTTCGTTATATAATATATTATTGTACATGTATTAAATCATCGTTATCGTTATACTCATCATGGATACAAATTAATAATATATTAATCAAAAACCATGACGACTGTTCATATTACCTTTTTTTTTACTATGTACAACGGGACTTATGTTAACGATGGCGGATGACAAGTAGAATAATATCACAGTCACCAAAAAAGTGAGTTACGCAGCAAAGTTGTATCCCAGAGTTGTAAACCCCATCCAGTGAGATTCTGCTTTACCACTACAACTTTCACAAGCCACACATATAATTCAAACTAAAATTATTATATTGAAAATGGATACAAAGAACGAAGAGTTGTTATCAATTTTATACATCTTACTGACTCATAAAACTCGTGACTCCAAAACGCATGTAGCACGTGCTTTAATTGATGACGAGTACAAATAAAAAATATCAATGATCACAATGAAATGGCGCCGTAATGAAACCTTTAACTTATAATTTAGTTTTTCAATTTTTGTATTATGAATTATGCATTTCACGAAAAAACAACAAAGATATCTCTCTCTCCTCCACTATCTTTAACAAATAATCTCTCTTAATAAAAATAAATAAAATGAAAGGGAGAAATACATTTATAGCTCGTTAAATAACAAAGCTGTAGCGTAAAATAGAAATCAACTGTGCCGTCAAGATCTCAACTGAAGGCATGATAAGAGCACAGGATAGCGGTTCTGAGTTTCAGCCTAAGGTACTCATATTAAATTTCAATTACAGATATTCGCAAGAAAATAATGGAGCTATTATGTCAGAAAGATGTTTATAATGACGCGGCCTGAGTGAAATGAAAAGCCGACGAGTGTGAGCTAACTGTCTTAGATAAAGCCATCACCATCATCTCCTGAATTAAAAAAACTGTTTCGGCTCTTTGAAGAAAACATCCATAACAAAGGTTACCAAATACCGAACTCAACCGCTTGAAATAAAGTCAAGACGGACAGTGCAAGTACAGTGCCCGTCAAAAGTCCGTAATTTCCGAACAATCGCATGTATGACACTATAACTTTGCATGCATGTAGTATGGTGTTATACATTAATAAAAAACAAAACTCCATTATACCCGAAAATTACCTAAAAAAATGCCTTTAAATTTAAGTTAACAATATGAAATCGTTTTTTTGCGCACCCACCCGAAAGGTCCCAAGCTGTCAATACATGAGACAGCTAAAGCAGTTCGCTGTGATGAAAAACAGTCCATTATTGGATCAAAAGGTGGGAGAAAACCAAGACTTGAGTGACAAACAAAGACAGGCCGACAAAGTGTGACAACCCAACAAGAAGACAAGCGGATAGTGGAGCTTGCAAAAAAATTGATATAACAACTCCAGAAATTTGAAAGGACATGATTAAGCAGAATGTCAATATTAGTATACGCACTGTACAATGTTGTCTTCATGAAGAGAAAGGCAGATACATGAGCAAGCTTTCAAAACCCCTTCTCACAGAGAAACATCAGCAAAAATGGCTGGAATGGGCAAAAAAAACATAGGAACTTTGACTATATGAAACAGGTCTTCTGCCATCTGTTAATGAACTTTTTGGTCAGGAAATGATCAGTGGATCCTTCAAGAAGACAATGATCACAAGCATCGTTCAAAAATCGGAAGGCGTGGAAGAAGGAAATAGGCATAAAAGTTCTCTCATGGCTGTCAATGTCTCCCGATCAAAACCCGATTGAAAATGTCTGGGGGCTCATGAAAAATAATCTGGCAAAAAAAATTAGAACTGTTAAGGGTTTGAAGGAGGAATTGCAAAAAGAATGGAGTCGTTTATCTAAAGAATATGCGGCCCGATTAGCCTCAAGTGTAAGAAAGCGTGCAGAAGCTTTAATTGAGGCCGAGGGCGATTATATCATGTACTAACCTTGTTGTATGAAATGAGAGCTTTTAAATAAAAAAAAGATTTTTCGTTTATCTTATCTCCTCGTTGATCTAAGGTGGGGGGAATACTTTTGACGGCACTGTAAAAAATCCCTGGTGTTAATAATTGATCCGATTTTTTACTAGAACTAGTGGGCTTAAGGATCCAATTTAAAAGTAGTTGAGCGAATTAGCTAATAAGATGAAAGTAATAATGTGGGCTGAATTCTTTTGCTTGTACGATAATTAATTATTAGATCATTAATTTTCGGGATTCGTTGCCTTGCTCGTATGTTTTTATTTCAAATCTTGCAAATAAATTAATGTGATTCAAATAACGTCGTCGTCATATTGATATTGCGAATGATATAGAGAATACCCTGGGTACACATGACGGATAAACATGGGCACTTGTCTCGGGGGATGCGCTAAAACCTGGTACATCATGTGACTCATGTCCGACACAAGAAAAATGAATATTACAATCATATTCTAACCTTATAAATAAATTTAAGGGGATTGATCACATGATGCATCAGGCTTAGACAATTTCTTGACTTCGGAAATAGGTCAAAGAATGTGACACTAACCGATGTATAAAATTAATGTCAGAATTTTTGTTCGAGAACATAACATAATGAGAACATTCATTATTTTCTGAGAACAATATAAAAATTTATATACTAACTACTAATCGGAGAGTTGATAACGATAATATTTTTTATTCACATGAAACAAATTGATATATTAGTTATTGCTTATATTGTTCCCACGTATCAACATGAAAAATATCACACAATCATTGATCAAATAGATAAAAATTTTAATTTCTTTTTTTCATCAAAATGAATAACCCAGCTCCACCACAACCTTCGCCACCAACACAATCACAACAGACACCTGAACAGCTGTTGCAACAACAAGAACTGCAAGAACTGCAACAGCTGCGAGAAAAATTCCAGCAGACGCAGCAACAACTACAAACATTGCGGCTGCAATACATACAGCAGCAACAAGAAAATTGGCGAAATCAACAAAGGTCGCAGCAGCAGCAAAAGCAACAAGAAAAACAAATTCAACAACGGCAGCAACAAATTCTTCAATTGGAGCGACAGCTCCAACAGCAGCAGCAACAGCTCCAACAGCAACAGCAACAACAACAGCAACAACAACAGCAACAACAACAGCAACAACAACAGCAACAGCAACAGCAACCACGACTACAACTAACATATGTTGTGGTGTTGTTCTTGCTGCTATTGTGGGCGATATACAAACAGTTTAGTTAAATTTATAAATTAATAAAATGTAAATTTCAATGGTATTTCAATTTTAAAACGAAAGAATATATTGCTAAAACGTACAGTATATAATAAAAATATTTAAAAATAATTATTTGGCTTGCTTAGAAAATATTTAAAAAAATAAATAAAATAATTATGTTTGTTTAAAATTTGAATTATAAATAAAATAATTATTTGATAATATTAAATCATTTTTTATCGTAATTATATATAAATCCTAACTCTTTTTAATTAATCAAATTAAATAAAATACAAATATATAAAATTATTTATTAGAATAAAAAAAATAATATAAATTATTACTTAAAATTAAATAATAAGAAAACAGGTATTTATCAAGTTAATAAGAGACCAATTCTTCTTTTTCTTATCTAATTAGTAATTATTTTTTATTTATATCTGATTCTTGATTCAGATCTTTTTCCAAAAAAATCATCTTTATTCAAAAAAGTTAAAATAAAAGATTATAAAAATTATAAAAAATAATTAATAATAATTATTATTATTATTATTTAAAATATAAGAATTCAATTTATAATATTCATTATGAATTTTAAATAATCATTACATATACAGTTCTGGCAGAAAGTAATGGTGATTGGTTTTTATTGAAAATAAAGCAAAAACTAATAATTAACCCCCAAAAAAATTATATTTTTATTATAAATATAATCAAACTATTATATATACAAAATATTAATATTTTGTGTGATTTTCTTCCATAGCAATGCATTCTTGAATGCGATTTTGCATGCTACGGATACTATTAAGTAGCACCACATTCAGAAGATTTTCCTATTCCTTCTTCACTAATGCAATAAAGATCTTTTATGACACACTCTGCTTTTGTGCCATCATTCCTTTAACTCTTTTTTTCACATTTCATTTAAGAACTGCCCAAATATTCTTGATAGGATTGAGATCTGGGCTATAGGATGGCCATGACAAAACACGATTTGGAAGTCATGTTTCAAGATCATTTCAGACATCATTTAAGATGTGTTTGGGATCATTGTCCTATTGAAAGATTCACTGCCAACGCCCAAATATACAAGTTGCATTTTTATATAAGTGATCATTGAGGATTTGATGATAAAGATGATAATCCATATTTTGTGTAAAGGTATGCATGGCTACTTTTCCGCGTACACAAATTGCACCCCACACATGAATTTTAAATGAGTGTTTTATCATTAATGCAGTTAGTTTATCAGAATGAGACCATGCATGACAGGTATTTTGGGATAACTGCAAAGTTATTTCATCAGAGAATATGACCTTATTCCAATTATAATTAATATAGTTATATAACCATTGAAGTTGATTTTCTTTTGCATGTTGGGTAAGGAGTGGAATACGTCTCAGCAATATCAAAATATAACTGAGCCTAAAAAGCTCATCACAAACAGTTCGGTTACTGATTTCAAAGCCTGGATAGATTTCTTCAAGCCATACTTTTATTTCGGCTGAAGTAGTGAAGTGATTTGATTCCAAGATTTTTCTGATTTGGTGATGTTTTTTTGATGTTATTTTACGCAGATGATCAGGATGATGGATTGCTAGAATATTGTCATTTTTACGAAGAGAAGATACATATTGTTCAACAGAATGAAGAGAAACTTCAGATTTATTAGCTATTTTGGCGGCATTATGATATTTTTTGCATCAAAAGTACTTAATAACTTCACAGTTCAATTTTATAGTATTACGTGTTATTTGTGGGAAAAAATAATATGATTCAGTAAATATTTTGATAATTGAGTAAAAATAAAAAATGTAATACATTATCTTATTAATCAATGTTTTTATCAGGGGTTTGATCCAATTTCAGCAGAGACCTACACTGCATAAAATATGCATGAAAGTGTCACTACCATTACTTTCTGCCAGAACTGTAGTAATAATCAAAAGTAATATATTAGAATTAAATTTATTAATAAAATATAATAAAAATTAAAATTTTCTCTTTAATTAATTAATAAAAATAACTTTACAATTAAAATAATACTTTCAGAAAAAATCTGAAAATAATATATATAATAATGATCAAAGTAATACATCAGAGACTAAATTTATTAATAAAATATAATAAAATCAAAATTTTCTCTTTATATTAAAATTTATAATTTTATTAAAAAATAATTTTTATTTTTATATCAAAATAAAGTTTATTAGTTATAAAGTTGTGCAAAAATTTTTATTAATTAAATTTCATTTTTAATTAATAATAATTTTTATATTAACTTTATAATTAAAACAACTCTTTCAGAAAAATCTAAATTAAATTACAAATAATAAATTTTATTTTGATATAAAAATAAAAATGATTTCTTAATAAAATTATAAATTTTAATATAAAGAGAAAATTTTAATTTTTATTATATTTTATTAATAAATTTAATTTTTAATACATTATTTTTGACTATTACTATATTAATTATAAATTATAAATTTTATTTTAATATAAAATAAAAATAATTATTAATAAAATATTAAATTTTAAATATAAAGAGAAAATTTTAATTTTTATAATATTTTATTAATAAATTTAATTTCTAATATATTACTTTTAATTATTATTATATATAATAAGATTTAATTATAAATTTTTTTATATATTATTCTGATATAATTATTTAGAATTTAGTTATATATAAAAATTTATTAAATTCTATTTATTTTCTTTTAAATTTATAATATAAATAGTTTATTATATAAAAAATATATATTTTAATTTTATTATTTTATAATATAATTATAATTTTTTATAATCTTATTAATTTAATTTAATATATTATTTATTAATTAAAAAATAATTTTAATTAAAAAATTTGAATTATATCTTAAAAATTAATTATAATAAGTAATTTTTTTATAATACAAAGTATAATAACATAATAAAATTTTACAAAATTCATATTAAATATATTATATTAATAATTATATATAAATTATATTAAAAAAAATATTTATAATAAGTAATTTTGAAAATATAAAAATATATTATATATATAAAAAATTTTATTTTATATTTTTTAATAAATATTAATTAAAAAGAATTTTATTTAATAAATTTTATATAAAATTATATTTTAATATATTTTACTATAATTTTTATTAAACTTATTAAAATAATATGAAATAAAAATTTAAATTATTTATTAAAAATTTTTTTAAATAATTTTTTATTTAAAATTAACTTATATAATATCTAATTTAATTTATTTAATACAAAATTTTATTAAATTAATATATTTTATATTATTAAAAAAATTTATTTATAATATTTAAAAATATAACTATAGTAATAATCAAAAGTAATATAATATTTAAATTTTTTACTAATTATAATTAGTCAAAAATTTAAGTATTATATTACTTTTAATTATTATTATATAAAATTCTATTAAGATATAAATAAAATTTTATTATTTTATTAATATAATCTATTTTAAATAATAATAAAAATCTTTATTATAATATAATATAAAATATAATTTATATAATAATTATAAATATTATTAAAAAATTGATTTATATATATTATTATTATTATAATAGTAAAAAATTTTATATATATAAAATTTTTAAAATATTTATAATATATTTTTATTATTATAAATTCTTTTAAATTTTAATAATATAATTAATTTATTAAAAATTATAATATTAATTAATTAATAATAAATAATTTAGTATAATTTTAAAATTTTAATATTTTAATATTTTTCAAAATAATTTTAATAAAGATTCTTAATTTTATTATTATTTTAATATTAAATTATTATTTAATATTAATTTTATTTTATTATTATTTTAATATTAAATTATTATTTAATATTAATTTTAATTATTTTAAAAATAATTAAATCTCTTTATAATTATTATATTTAAAAAATAAAATTAAATAATTATAAAAAATATAATATAAAAAAATTTTTAATTATAATTAATTAATAGTTCAAAAAATTAATTATAAAAAAATATATATTATAAAAAAATATAATTATTAAAAAAATTAATTATATTTTATAATTTAATATTAATTTTTATTTATTTAAATTACTTATTATATTTATTAAATATAAATAATATTTTTATATTAATTTTTAATTTTTTTAAAAAATTTATTATTTATTAAAAGTATATAAAGAAGCTAAAAAGTTTTACATATGACTTTTTAACTTGAGATTATATTAATTTAATTAAAATTAGAAATAATTATTAAATACATATGCTTTATGTAATAAATAAAAAAAAGTAAAAAAAAATTCATTATCTTATTATTAAGAAATTAATTTTTTTGTCAAGAATAGTAAAATAACTAAAAGAAAATAAGCTATAAAAATAAATAATATCTTGTTTTTGCTTCTTGAAAAAATAATAAAAATATAATATAAATTTATGAAGAATTAATAAATATAAAAGAAAAATAAATATTATCTATTAGCATAATTAAATACTGAATTATTATATTCAAAGATGGAAAAGAAGAAATTAAAGACAAGATCTATTTTGAATATTTTTATAAAGTAATAATATCAGAAAAAATTATCAAAATTAAGAATCTTATTAATAATAATTTATATATTTTTATTAAAGAATTAGTTAATAAAATTGATATTTTCTATAAAAGAATTTCTTATATTTTGTATAAAAAGCTAAATTTTTATAAACTCTATACAAAATGAATTTTTTATAAACTTTCAGAGAAATATAAATAATATTATGTTAAAATTTTCAAGTAATTATAAATTTTAAAAAAAAGATATAAAAATATTATTATTAATAATAAAATATAGATATATTTTTTTAATATTTCAAATAAGAAAATAAATAAGTTATAATTAGAAAAAGATAAGAATAGATTATAAATAATAAAAATAGCTTAAAATTCAAAAAAAAAATATTTTACATATTTTTTTCTGTAAATGAAATTATTATATGATTTATAATTTTAAAAGAATAAATAGTCAATACTAATC